TTTTAACAAAACCATTATACCCTGATTTCCCATTTTCAATGGGTTCAGGGTATAAAAATACAGTTTGCATTTTTCTCGTTTTGTGTTTTTGTAATGCTATCAATATGCATAAAAAAATATGCGAGTTGATTGAAATTGAAAATGGAATGCAAATGGCAATGACAATGTTGTAACATTTACCATAATGAGAATCGCATAGAAAGGTTTTTAGTGAAGAAATGGAATAAAGTAAAGAGGAAATGGAAATCTGAAATAAACAAAATTATTCTAAATTAGTTTGAGAGTATTCAAAAAAAAAGAAATCTCAAGTGAAGAAGAATCCAAATGGCATAAGTTATCTTATAGGGTAATTTATTTTCGATTCGGTTCGATTTATTCAGCAAACAAACCCAACCCTTATAGGGTATGTTTGCATATTATCTTACATTACTAGAATAATAGAGAATCCAATAAAGAGTAGAAATTCTAAGCTAAAATCTTTTAAGATTCCCAATTATGCCACACCCACTGCTCCGCCCCTTTACATTATATACAAAGGGTATCTACTCATCGAGTCGTCAGTCTCCATTCATTTTTCTATTCAGTTGTGAATGAGCAAATATTAATGCTCATCATTTAATAATGTGATATGTCGGCTGACAAGCGCAACGACAGGTGAGTGACTCTTTTATGCGTTGCATTTTGCTTTGTTTTAATGCACATAAATATAACTATATAGATATACAGCTATCTACATATGTATGTATATCTGTATATCATTTTTTTGTGCTGTCTGTTACCATCGTCGGCGCCGTCGCGTTAATAAAATATTCAAAATTTAATTTTCATCGCGTTGCATTTGACACATTTCAATAAAAACAATTACTACAACAATTAAGTTGAAAAGCCGCCACAGCGGTTGCCATTTTATTTGCTGTTACTGGACAGCCAAACAATGCCAGCAAAAAAGCAGTGTCCCGCTCAACCGCTCACCCGCTCATCCAAACAAACATTTATGCAGTTTTAATTATAAATGCATTGTTGCATTTTAATGAGAGTTGCCAAATGTCAACAGTATTGACCAATAGAATAACAAGCGCCACAACAGAAACCTGTTTCAATTATCAGGTAATGAAGTGTAAAGTACTCAAATGCAAAGCTGACTAGATGTAACTAGTGCATAAAATGGGGGTAAATTAAGTATTTCCCTTATATATATATACTATACCTAATGCCTTGTCTAATAAAGGACTCTGATTTAACATCCCACACAATCTATTTGCAGCTAAGTTCAATTGAAAGCCACATTACTCATACGCCGCATGCTCCACTAGTTGACCCCACAAATAACGAGCCCAGACAATGACCCACAAGCCAAACCCAGCCAAGAGAGAGTCCAATCCAGCCACGCCTCTTCCCGCCTCGCCTGGAGGCAAATCCATTGTGCTGGCATTCAAAGTCGATGGCGGAAATGAAAATTGAATTTTATGCAAACACAAAAGCCAATTGAAGTCAATTATTGTTTATGTAACTAATTTTATTTAAATATAAGTCAATTCGCATGCAGCAGACACGAAACGAAAGGCAAAGTGGAAGCAAAACCGAATGAGAATCACAATGGGAAACAGGAAGAAAGGACAATTATCGAAAGCCAAACGAACGCTGAATGCTCTAACTGAACTATTGAGTGTTAAGTGAATGTAGGCAGTGCTCTGAAGGATAGATACAATAGTGTAGTAGCCTATGAATGAATATGCATAAATATTTACCAACTGTCTCCCGAATGTCGCTAACTAACTGCTCAGCGTAATTGTCGTCGATTGGCTCGGCGCTAACTGTGACCCATTTTGGAAGTTGGCAAAGGGCCAGCTAGCGGAATGACCGAAAAAAAATGACAGTGGGTGCCAAAGAGCAAGCAAAATGTCCTTGGACCTAGTGAAAATTGCTGGGGCCCATCCATCAGCTGTTTGTTTTGTTGAGCGCAGCGTTTTCAGCTTTTTGTCGTTCCGCTTGTGGGATCTTCGCCTGCCTGTTTTTTTTTTTTTTTTTGTCTCTCTCCCTCTCTTTTGTCAGAGACAGCGACAAAGTGCAGAGCCGAGCAAAGCGGTGCGTGTGTGTGTGTGTTAGTTATTTTGATTGATTGCATTGTTTCGTGTAACAAATTTATTTGTGCCACGCCCACTCGAACACTTAAAAGCAAGAGGCCCAACAGCAACGGCAACAGCAAAAATTGGATAGCTACATCATTGTCAGCCGCAGCAGGAGCAGGAAATTGTCAAAGGCCGCCAGCGACATGTAGGTAAAGTTTAAAGCCAAGCCCAACATCATCATCATCATCATCATTATTATTCTTATTATCAGCATCAGCATCAGCATCATCATTGGCATCTTCATTGCTCTCATGGTTAACCATCATCTTTGGCACAATCTCAATGACGTTTTGTTCTGCTTCCTCTTCACTTAGCCAGCATCATTAGTGAAAATGATTTCTTATTCAAGGCTCGCCTTGGCTCAGCTTCTGCTGCTTCTGGTTTTTCTTTAGCTTTGCCTGAGTTTTTCTTTTACTGATTTCTTCGCACTGTTGTCATGCTTCATCGATTTTTTATGCTTTGCTGGCTCAGTTGATGGAAATTTCAGCCTGTTTTTCAGTATATCTTTCTCTCTCGCTCTCTCTCCCATACTATTTTAGTCGCCTGCACTTGAAGAACCAACAGCCAACGCATTGGCAGTCAGTCTTTGGCTTTTGCTTTTGATTTGGCTCTGTCTCGTTGTATTTGTTTTGCTGGCCCCCGAAAGTTTAACATTTGCTTTGTTATCTTTAATATTGATTGTGTGCAATATCTCAAGCTATTTTCCATTTTTGTTTGCCATATCGAAATGTCATGGCAAAGAGCAAAATAAAAGAAACAAAAGAAAAACCCTTTTGGTTTTATTGTGAAACAAAGCAAACGAGCAGACTAAGGACAAGTCCATTTTTACTAACTGACAGCGATTGCTGGGCGAATTCCGCAACATTTCAAGCATTTCTTGCTTACCGAGCGCAGATGGAGAGTTCGAAAAGCAAATGCTAGCTAATGAGCGAGAGATAAATATATACCTATACTACACTTCTTTTATTTAACAAAAAATCAAATTAAATTCTATTGTCGCAGCTATTACTTAAATCAAAATCATTAGCAAGAGCAGACCATTGATGACCCAGTGTCCAGGTTTAGCAGTCGTTGCTTTGCTCCAACTGAAGCGCCGGAACCAAAAGGTTTCATTTGAAGTCTCTTCGCTCTCCCTCATGAAGAAAAAGAGGAAATAGGGCGGCATCAGGGCCATCTGATGCGTATAGCTAATGACGAAGCCGCAGCGCTGCTTCTCAGATCCATTCCAAGCGAACTTCGGCTCTTTGTTCATAAAATCGACAGTCAAGTCTGCGAACTTGTGCTCGTTGTTGGGGCCGCTGCGTATGCGAATCTGGCCGGGATCGTATTGGTGCTGAATGAGGTAGCGCATCAGCGAGGTCACGTACGGCATGTAGACCCAGAAGAAGGTCTCGCCGTGCTTCAGGTACTGTCGATCCTGCAGTAAGGTGTTCTTGTGAGCGTTGATCAAGTTGAACGGCTGGCGCAAGTGGCTCATGCGCAAGCGTCCGGAATCAACCCGAAAATGACTGTCCAACAGCCTCTGCTTCTTGTCGCGCAGCGAGGACTCGACGCCAATGTGCTGAAACTGACTTTGGGAGGCGTGTATAGCATACCTTTGATAGTCCCTAATGCACTCCTTGCTCTGAAAGCTATCCCAAGGGCAGCACTTGAGCTTCACGTACGACTCGAGCAGCCAGTCGATGGGCTGATCATTGTAGAAGTTCTGCACGTGAGACAGAAATGGTTTTATCTCTGTCGAGCGGAACATTTTGCCGATGAAGCCCAGCTCACAAAAGCTCATGACAATCCATTGACGATGTCGGGTTTCGGCCAAACGAAAGTTACTTTGCATTGTCGACAATTTGATGATATAGTCCAAATAGCCCACAGCCGGCGACAAATCATCCTCGAGCTGCAGATAGTAGCTGCCCCGACTCGCTGCATATGTCATCAGGTACATGTAGTCCAGATTCTGTTTGGTGCGCCAGCGCACGCGCTCTGGATCGTCGTTTAGCGTTATATAGATCGACTTAAAGTCTGGATAGTAGCTGACTGGCGGTGAGATGACATCGATCAGACCGTCATCCAAATACCGGCCAAACTTCCCATTGATCTGCTGCCAAATGGACTGCACGAGCGAGGCTTCTGTCTCACCAATATAGACGACGATCAGGCAATGGCTGCGCTGAAACTCTGTCTGGTACTCAATCAGCTGCTCCAGCGTTTGCTCCAGATACTTTGTATGCTTCCGATGCACCGTGGGCACGCCCAGCACATACTGCACATTCGTGCGGCCATTGCTGTAGCTGAAGCCGAGCGTAAGTTTCGGCTTCTCCAAAATGCGCTTCCAGCTCGGCTTCCTCTCCGGCTCATGTCTGAGCGTCGCATAGCCTGATGGCTTCGCCTCACCTCGTGTGAAGTTCGTGTAGCTCGACAACTCTGCGGCATAGTTTCCAACTGGCATAGGCACTTGCTCGTCAACAGGCCGCGATTCCTGCTGCTTATAGAACTGGGTGAACCACACGAATGTCGCCAGCACCCATGATACAATAATTAACAGCAAGCAGAGCTCGAAACGAAAGCTAATGATCCTCATAGCCTCGATAATCTTGACTATGTGGATTCAGTTAAAGAAAAGAGTTTGAAGCAATCTGTGAGCAGCTCAGGCAGCGCTTACTGAGGCAGCGCTTAAACTGAAATATCATAGGCCAACGTAACTTAAAGCCTAGCACTCCTAGCCATCCTATGTGCCAGCCAGCCCACATATCCAGCTGAAGGAAAAACTCTTTTTGATGTCTCTACAGTGGCATGCCAAAGCAGCTATTTCTTTGGGGATTCTTTTTCTGCCTAAACGATAGAAAACTCATGCGAAAGACAAACAAACTGAACGCAATGGGCGGGCGAGCACAAATTCCCTTAAGCAATGAATATTTAGAATTCCGCTGTCATTTTTGAACACGCCCCAGAGAGACAGAGATAGAGATTGAGAGAGAGTGAGAGAGGGAGAGCGCATGGGAAACATAGCCAGACAATGCATAAATAAAACGCGTTCAAATCACAATTTAATGTCGTTCAGTAAATGAGATTCTCATAGACCAAAATCCCTATCAAGCGGAGCCATTAAAAAGCAACAACAGCAAAACTTAAATTGAATTCGATTTAAACTTTGCGCTCTGTATATGTATTTACGTGAGTGTGTGTGTGTGTGTGTGTGTGTGTAGCTGTATATGCCTGAGGTTAATGTCAATTACCTGCATTATTTATAAAAATTCGCACGTGATGATAAAAATTTATGCACACACTGCTGCTCCAGACACCATGCTGACTTGTTCTTTCAGCTTTTGGGGCACGCGAGGCTGGCAGTCCCCGGTCGAGGGTTCGCGCATTAAATAAATAACCGAAAAACTTTTCAACTTTCATGAATATTAATAACAGCAGATTTTTTAAAATATACACACACACACATGAATATACACATATAGAGAGAAGGCATCAACGATGGCATCCAAGTGACAGAGTCAACGTTGCTCATACGCCGCATTGTCCGTGCAAAATGTAAAATGTGCATTTAAATTGAATTCCTTAATGAATTCGCAGCAACGCCTGACCACGAACCACCAGAGCCAGAGGAGCACCGACTGAGCCAGCCAGCCGGACGGACAGCGCGGAAAGGTGTTGCCCAATGCGACGCACGGCGCTTTTTATCAGATTACAAATTATGCATTTGAGAGCAGAAATCAAATGAAAAAGCAGCCATAACTTGCATTCGAGCTCTGCTATGATTAAAGTAAATTTTCCCCTTTTTTTTAGATATTTTCTAAATATTCCCCTAAATTCAGGCAAGCTCAACTCTTAAGCTAGAGCATTCAAATTTCGTCCTATATCGTACCATGCACAATTGTATTTTACATTTTATTACCCAAAACTGAGCACGCTCGCCCCCTTTTTATTTTGGGGCGTGCAGGGGCGTGCATACGTAACTTTTTGGAGCGCGCAGCGAGAAATTATGCAAAAATTCAAAAGCATAAAGTTTGGCGATGCAGCAGCAGCAACTCGACTTGACTCTTAATTAAAATGCATTAAGTTGGGCCAACGGGCCAAGCGTCGGCCACAACATGTGACCTCAAGTGTTAACATAAAAGTTCAGCGCATAAAAAAGCTCAAAAATGAAAACTAATCTGCAAAATCTAAAATTTACTAACGAACTGCCATTGTGCCGGAAAGTGCAGTCAAAAAAAAATATATATATAACAAAATTAGACGTAAATTTTCTATATATATATATTTTTTTATTATTATATATAAAGGATTTTTTTAAAGCCTTTTTGTAGCTGTTGGCTGGCATCTACATTGATTAATGGCCGAGTGCACGAGAAATTAAATGTAACGCCACATGAACTGAAATTCTAGCCGCAGCCATAACTAACTAACTGATGTGCCTATGGCTTTTGATGCTATGGCTCCTGCTCCTGCTCCTGCTCCTGCTACGGCATATGATAATGGTCAAATTTTTGCACATATTTTCCCACAGTTTTTATGCCCCATTTTTTTGTTTTTGTTTTTTTCTCTGTGTGTTGTTTTCGCTGGCCAACCGACAAACACAACACGTAACATGTGTTTTAGTTTATAACAACGGACCCAAACAGACGTAAAAAGCATATGAAATATATAAAAAGAGGCCGGGCATAAAAACATTTTTAGGCAAAAATATGCGATATTAAATTTTCATTTGAGTTGAGTGGAAAATATTTGCTCTATTGCATGGCGAAACTATTTTATATGCTGCTCTTAGTTTGAATATTTCATTAATGAAATAGAATATATGAAAAATAATATAGATTTATATAAAAAGCTAAAATAGTTCAAGTTCAGGTTCAGATTGCAAATTATCAATTATAACTAAATGATGTATTATTATTTCTTATTACTTTTTCATTTCTTAACGCTGAAGAGCAGCCTAAAGAAAATTCTATATTAATATATACAGCCCTTCCTTCCTACTTCTCTCTAAACTAATCTATCTCATTCGAGAAGCCCTTTGTTAGCAGCGTATTTGTGCTCTAAATAAATCCCGCATTGACACATACATGTAATCTAAACCAACACACACACATATATCTTTCCGTACACTCACATAAAAACTAAGAAAATAAAAAACCAAATTGACAAAAATCTACGGGGCGTGAACAAAAAATGGTTATAAAACCTTTCAAACCTGATGGCAATTTGTGGCATTTGCTGGTGCTATCTTAAAATACATAACATGGACCAACTGCAGCCGCAAAATATTGTTAGATTTTTGCACCCATTTAAAAAGGAGTGTGAACAAAAAATGGCACTCCAAATCTGTGATAAGCCATTTCTCATTTTTATTCCGAGGGGGAAAAACAGCGTAATAAGTGCGCTCATAAATTTCTTGGTAAGTTGCACAAAAATTAAAGTGCAAACGCTTGCGAGCCAGCCAAGCAGGTCCAACAAGTGACAAAAGAGGCGAAATTTGCAAAATAAAATAATAGAGCTGCGGCAGAGACAGAGGCAGAGGCAGCGGCAGCGGCGAGTGGCAGAGGCAGCTGAACGCGCCGCTCGACGAGCATACGGAAGTGCTGAATCACCGGAAAACCATTAAAGGAAGTCACAACTATTGATTATGTCGGCGACGGCGGCGGCGTCAGCGGCACAAACTAAAAATGGCTTTGTGTGTGCAAGCAGCGGAAAAATTATGATAGCACCCATACCCAGAGCACAGAGCAGAGGCCCAGGCAGAGGCGCTAGCGAGAGCGAGAGCGAGAGCCAGACGAAGCAGCAGCTCGTCCTAGGCAATCCCTCGGCCTCGGCACATATAAATTTGCATCGCTGGGCGCTTGGCGGGGCGTGCTTCAAATTGAATTTGATGGCTTTTATTTGCAGCTTTAATTGCAGGCGACACTTGGTTTAGAGGGGCATATGCACTATCTAATCAGTTGGCTAGATAGAAATGCGAATGACATGCAAGAAATCTGTATAGAAGACTGTATAAAAGACTGAATACATATATACATGATATTATTGAGTAAATAAAGATATCATAGAAAAAGAAACGAAAGAATATCTGAAACTATATATAAAATAAAAAAAACTTTGCATAATAAAGATAATAAAAATATATTTTAAATAAATTTAAAATATAACTCACATTTATTATACACAATTTATATGCATCTGTAATATATATGTACATATATATACATATATATAAATATATGTTTTATCAATTAGTTACTTTCGTCTAGCGCATGCAAAGTTCGTTTTATCAATTTAAATAGACTTTACAAACAATGTTTGCTGCTGTTATTGTTGCTGTTTCTGCTGCAGTTGTTGTTGTTGTTGTTGTTTTCATGTTGAGTGGGCGGTGTGAGCGTGAACGCGTTGCTAGGCAAAGTGCATATAGAAACGGCGGAAACGTCGCTCGCCGACCAAATAGTCGAAAATCATGGCGAGATAAATTGCCAAAGATAGCAAAATGGTTGGAGTCGCCGCTCGCTAGCACGGGCAAACGCTACTCTATTGTTCAAAATCAATTTAGTGTTGAATTGGTGCCAAGAATCTCATTTTCAAAAGCGACGGCCGTCGATGTCGACGTCGACGCGAGCAACACCAACAGCAACAGCAGCAGGAGCAGCAACAGCAGCAGGAGCAGTTGCAGCAGCAGTGGCAGCGTCAACTGGAACACATAGGAAATGAAAATACCGGAAACGCCGACATTTTCTCAATGAAAATCAGCTAACCAAGCCAAATAGAGAAAAAGCGAAAAGAGTTCGCCGAAACGCCAACGCAGAAAAATACCAAAAAATAAAAAAAAAAAAAACAGAGAATTGGAAAAAATGTGCTAATAACTTTCAAATAAATGTTAAGCCCCACCGACAAAAAAAAATGTAAGAGAGGCAGCCAGCTAGCTAGTCAGTGGCATGGACTAGCTTAAACCGGCTCACAGACAGACAGGCAGACAGTTCTATTTCAGCTATAAACTCTCATATGTGTAGGCGTGTGTGTGTGTGTGAGTGTGGGTGAGTGCACGCCTCTATTTCCACACATAACTCAAGAGCCTAATCCCGGCCAGCCAAGGCCGTAAATTCAGTCGGAGCTCGCGTTTCACTGGCTTAGCTCAAAATGGCGGCGTCTGAAGCCAATTTTAAAGTTGTCAACAGTAAATTTTCCCTACACATGCAACTGATAGGCGTTAAATGCTCAGCGTTTAATTGCCGAGCTTTGTTTGAAGTGAAGAAGTTAAATTAATATAAACTGTTTTGGCTGCGGTATATATGTATATATTCAAATAGTAGATCCACATAGAGAAAATTAGATGCCACCCAATACTTCACTTTAATTTTAAGCAAACAAGACTTTCAATTCTAATAGAAATATGTAATATTTCTCTCATTTTCATCTATCTCTTTCCCTCCTCAACAACTCGAATTCTAATTGAATTTGGCTTTAGCTTTGTCGGCTTAGAGTGGAGAAAAACCCACAAATTCTTTTAATGGCTCAATCAAAGACACACTCGGCACAGACACACACACCACAGACAGACACCGACACACATACACACTCACACACATG